AAATAAATAATAAAATCAATCAATTATTCAGTCAATTCATAGAAGGCTCTAGCTTAAACTCATAAAAGACCATTATTGTTGTATATAACTATTTTACACACAAATACTTTCTCCCATAATAAGGGCCTGTCATGATAAATTTGAAGTGTGATGTATTTCTAGTAAATATAGACAATAATATTGAAACTAATTTGTTCTACTGACACGATAACCCTAAAGCAGGATCATCCCCCCAAAATTTTGTATATGTACAGTAAATTAGCTGCAATAAATAAATGGCAGCTATGAAACATTTCTGTAGTTTTTTAGTTTTGTTAGTTATTAATTCAACATTTTTTAGGTCAAATATCATCATATACTGAAAAATAACACAAATGCTCCCACTAGTACAATGAAAAAGTACTCACGATAAATTCTGACCAAAAATTATTGTTCCAACAAGACATTATCGTACTTATTGTGACAGGCCTACTATATTATGAAAAGTTATCCTTTAAAGATGCACTGTGTAACTTTTTGGTTGGGGGTATCATCTGCTTGTTTCTATGTCATTGCTCTGCCTGGAATGTTCCACAGTATGACATTAAACAGCTGTTACATTTATTAAATTACAGGTGGTTTAATAGCTCAAAAATACCTAGAGAAACAAGCATTCTGACTGTGAGTGGGGTTCGCCTCTCCACAGCTCTGACCTGTAACTCGGTCTAGTTTGGTCTCCGTGAAGATATAAAGGTTTAATACCATACTGTGAAACATTCCAGGCAAAGCGATAACATCTCCATGAAGAAAAGCCTCCACCAGAAAAGTTACACAATGCACCTTTAAAACTCGAAAGTACAAATGTGATGTGGAGCTTGAATAAAATAAAACAAATGTCAAACTGTACTGGTCATAAAAGAGAAGAATTTACAATAACATTAACAACACATGTGACCAGTGTTTGACAGCTGACTATTGGCAGCTGACTGAAGCTCTACATGCCAACTACAAGTCAGGCTTTGAGACACAGGGTCATTTTTAGATCCTAGCTTAGATTTCAAGTTGAAACAGATATAGCTTTAGGAACATAGTGCTGCATGCAATAGTAGCATAAAGGCCACGCTCATGGGACTGACAGAGTATGTGATAAACAGTGAAAGAGGGGGGAGGAGCCCTGCATGCTTAAGTGTTTCAAAGCCACAAATCAATGCACTTTGCTGAATTAATGTTTTAAGTTAAAATATTAATTCCAAGCAATTTATCACTATATTTCTTTATAACATGATTGTGTATCCATTCACCTTCACAGTAGGCCTTAAGTGTTCTTAATCAAATTATAGCAGCAGTCTGAATGAGCTTCTAGTAATTAACTCTTCCACCTGAGTATGCAGCACAAAATTACACAGACCTCTTATGGTAGAAAAGAGGACCTGTGACTAAAACAGTGCCATTTTACAGAACAACTTTGTGCTCCAGTAGAGAGGAGGGGGTGTAGGTATGGCGTGTTCTTGATGGGAAATGAGCAAAAACATTCACACCTACAATACGTGAGTGAAGTGACTAGTACAAAATAATGCTGATAACTTAAGCAACAATAATACGATAATAATATATAACTAAAACACATTATCCCATTCATATGCATAAGCAACTAGTGTGACCTATGTGGAGTATGTTTACTCCCACTACCCAGAGCTTCACACCCTGCACACTCAAAGTCAAAGAAGGCACAGATTGTCTGCTGAGCGGGGCCAAATTTAGTCGAAGAATTTGTATGACCTTTATCTGAACCCTACAGAACATCCCACATAAAGTGCACCGTACACATAGGCCTAATGCTTCTGACATGTAGCATGCATAAATGTACTGAATCAAATGGATTTTCTCACCTTGAGGAAAATATTCTTCAAGTCCTGGGGGTCGGCTCGTTTTGTTGCTTGCACCTGAATAAATACAGCAAAACAGAGTTAACACAACGAGTTATCTGTTAGTTACACAAAACAAATAAGTTAGGAGTAGTCTGTAGCCAGTACAAGTAAAGCTTTCACAGAGTAGACCACAGCCACAAGCTAACACACTGCTAGCAGCAAGAACATAACCATAAATAGTAATAAGAAGAGCACTACGGTCAGTCTGCAAAGTTACCCTGCTTTAAGTCCTCTACATACAAGCAACAGAGTGCCATGACACCAGCTGAGGCCAGATGCCTCTGCTGAACAGCACAGATGCAATCACTAAATAAACAGGAACCAAGCTATGTTAGAAAAAAAGCCATTGTCAAATCGTCTCTCCGCGGGCACAGTCCTCTGCATATCCAGCTGCGTCACTCCTAAAGCTACCATACGGCTTTAAAAACTCAAATCTTTAGCAAAAATTTTGCCAGAGTCACCTTGACCGCCATGCTGAGGATGACGTCAGCTGCAACGGACTGGCGCAGGCGCTGGGCATCACAGTGTCATCTAACAACAAGGACACGAGGCTGGAGAAGACCAATATATATGCAACATGGAGTTTTACAGGGCTGTGTGGGAGCCGTCCACTGCGATGTGAAGGACCCTCGCGCACTCAGCACATTTACACACGGTTTCCTGTTTGCGTAGGTCAGCTGAGGACACGCGCCAGTCTGCAGCCTCCCTGTGTGCAGGCGGAGAGCAGCTGCGGCATGTCTATCAGCTCACTATGTTTTTTCATCTGAATAATCAGATGAACAACAAGAAATGTTCCGTGCAGTCTGCAGAGAGCAAAAATGACGGTGCTCAAAAAGCTTCCCTCACAATGAAAAAGGAGGAGCTCTAGCAACATGATTAAAGGTCTCATGCCATACGTTATTCAAGCATTATAAAATATAGGATATTTATAACAGATAAGTGGGCCATTCAGGTAAAGTATTAACATCTCCATGGAGACAAGCAGGCAGATTAACCTTCACCAGAAAAGTTACAATTGAGTCTTTAAAATAACATAGCCATAGTCTGGTAACAAGGCCGAACCCACAAAAAGCAAAAATTAGAACAAAATAAAATATAGAATCTTTAAAAAATATATATGATGTGATACTTTCACAGTCTATTCATTTGTGAGATAGCCTACTTCAGGTCCAACACTCAGATGGATTGCCGCTGTATCATTCAAGATCATTATCAGGATTATCACAAACATAAGAGATAAGAGATTATGTAGTAGCACCAACTATTTAAGACAATATGCACAATATTAGCAATATCTTAGCCCATAAACATTATATACATTATAATTAATACAATTAATTGTTATTAGTTATAGAGGCCATCCTCTTAAAATAGAAGTGTGTCTTATTGAAAGTGCACACACTGATGTAAATAGTTTTACTGCAAGTTCTTTATAGCAACTAAACCAATATGTTATATTTAAATTGAAGGAACTGTATGTAAGACTTAAATTTCAAATTTCATAAACATGACCTAACTGTGTCCCCAGATAATCTAAACATGTTCAAATCAAATAGCTTTCACTGATAACATTCTTGATTTTTCAATGGGAACAGTGCATATTAAAGAACATCTGTAATTTGACAGATTATAGCAAAAAAATCCTCATTTCCATCTGTTGAGATACAGAACACATCATAAAATCTTACGAAAAAGACACAGCACAGAACAATAAAAGGCCAGAGTTAAAAGTGTTCACAGACTTTGTTTTCTTTCATCCGCAGTTTGTAAGTGGACAGTGATGGGCTTTCTCTTATTGTAAGAGGAAGGCTGTTCAAGTAATTAGTCCCTTTGACAGACAGCACAGTCTGACCAAATGTGGTGCATCTGTGTGGTACCTCACAGTCCCCTCCAGCCATAGGTGCCGATCCCACTCTCATGGTCTTTGGTTTAATGAAGTCCTTCAGAGGAGGAGGAAACATTTGGAAAACATTTTAACAAAATTGTGAAAATGGTGTGTAAAGTACTTATCCAAAACAGTGCAGTTGTGAAATGAGTAAAGTTTTTTATTCAAGATTTTTAGGTCTTTTTCAAAAAGAGATTCTATGGGTTTCAGTGTTGTGCCAGTAGCAAGTGACCAGGAGGTGATACAGTAGGGCTACTTTATGTGTAAAAAAAAAAATCAACATCTTAACGGCATCTTAGAGTCTCTCATTTGGGTTGCCAGTATCAATGCTGAAATCCAGTTGGTTTAAACCTAAAAGCACTCTCTCTGATCTGAATCGCCTCTAAACCCCAGCACCAACAGTCAATCATTAATCAGTGCCAGTGCAGCCTCTGAGTGAATACTGGGTGTTCTGAGCTGTTGCATGAGGCATGACCTTTACATATATGCAAATAAGAAAAACAACCCAGATTTGGTTGTGAGTAGGCCTATGTTTTTAAACAGTAGGAGTGCTTGCTACAGTTTCTTCAAGTGTAAGAGAGGATACTTCAACAGGTTTGCAAGAATCACAAAGTCCAGACCAGCGGCAGTCTCAGAAAACACAAAGGGTTTTTGTTTTTTCAGACTGCCTGAGGCTGTTTACTTTTACATTGTATGCTCTTCCTGTATAGCTAAAACCACTGAAGTATAAAAATACATTTATAAAACCTTGCTGACCCGACCATTCTCTGTCCTTTGTGTCTTGTGGCTCAAAGTTAGCTAATATTTTGTTGTGGCATTTTCTAATCCTTTTCTACAAGACTCAGCTTTCAATGCTATTGAAACAGAAGCTCTAAAATACAGACAGACAAATGTTGGCCTCAAAACAAATAAAACAAATAAATAAATAAAAATAATAATAAATAGATAATATAGGCTAATAATAATTAATGTTTTACTAAAAATCGTACCTATAAAATGAGTGAATCACTTACTCATTTAAGTATTATGGCATAAAGCCAAGGAATTAACCTGGAGTGATAAGGCATTATAAATATATATGTATATTTATAATGAACATGTATACAATCATATTTTGAATGAATATAGAAATAACACACAGCAAAGAAACTATGGAAGAAAAATTAATATTAATAAAATAAAAAGAAAGGAAAACGCGTCCCCTTTGACGGAAATACGTAAACCCGGAAGTTGATGTTTTCCGCGCGTCTTTTGGGATAAGCTACTCTACACGCAATCTGAGCTGCTGAGATGGCGGGCAAGTATCCAAACGTGGTTTTAATCCACTCTTCGTACATACATGTTGTCGTTCTTTGTGGTGTAGCCCCGCATACTTAATTCAGCTGTGGTAAAGCGTGTGTAGTCTGACCGCCATGCAATCAGAGCGAGTATGCTAACTGTGAGGCTAGCAACACAGCAGTAATGGCCTGCCTGTCAGCTCATTGTGCATAACAGACGAGTGAGGTTTGCATTTCAAGTTCAGGCATTTGTTCTTTTATTGCGCTAAAGCTGACATGTCCATTCCAGATCGTCTGTGCTTTAGTAGAATCCTATAATCCTCTGTGGGTTATAATAGCATGTGCCTAAGACACACAATATTTCAATAATTAAAAATCTAATCATATTCCACTCTTGTAGCAAGGTGTAGTTATTATGAGAGCTCATTCTAGAAACCCAGTGTGTCGATTTTAATGTTAAAGGTGCACTGCATAACTTTTCAGGTTGAGGAGGTCCATGGAGATGCCATTGCTTTGCCTGTAATGTTCCACAATATGGCACTGAGTTTGTGAAAGATGCAATTATTGAAGTATGTTTTTTTATTTCTCAAAAATAAATTTAAAAGCATGCATTTGTTACTGTGACTGTGGTCACCTCCTAGATCTCCCCTGTAAATTGGCCTGATGGCATCTCCTGCTTGTTTCTATGGAGATTGAGAAGTTTAATGCCATACTTTGGAACACTGCAGGAAAAACAATAATATCTCCGTGGAGACTGGCAACTTGTGGGCTTTCTGCCAGAAACATTACACAGTGCACCTTTAAGATAACTTTATCCTACTTTAAGTATAGTTGCTTTTGTATAGTTTAAACACATTTATATGCCTTGTTGAGTGCAAAAGGAAAGGCATATAATTCTTTTTGACGTGTCACTGTACGATGCAGTGACTCATAGTGAGATTACAACAGGTCCACATATTACAATACATGACTTGCATCATATTAGCAATAATTTGCAGTGTAAGAAAATGACTATTAACATCTGACCTTGTTTGCTTTTTACAGGAATTAATGCTATGGAGAAGAAACTGGCTGAGTTCAAATGTGACACAAATGAAGCAGTATGCCTAAAATTGGGTATGTGTCTATATCACTTATTGTCCTGTGATATAAAATCCATGGCCTTTCCCAAATTATAATTTGAAGATTACAAGGATTAAAGGAAACATAGATAGTACATTTTATTTATGCACATAACATCTGAAAGCAAATCTCCAAGTGCTTACCTTTTATTTTAGATTTGCATGATTTTATCAGCACATTTAGGATAACAGTGATGCCATATTATACTAATTGATGATTTGTCTCAGTCCGATTTCCTGAAGATATCGAAGATGATGGCACAACATTCCACCCTGAGTACAGCCATCAGACATTTGGAGATGAGTGAGTCAATTAAATACACATTTGTTTTTGACATCTTTATTTTAAAAGGTGTCTTAAACTCGAATACTTGTTTTGCACCTGTCCTTTAATGTAAATAGATGATATTTTCGAGTTTCTCCTTTTTTATCTAGATGTGAGTGTTAGTTTCTGTCTAAGAGTTTGTTTAAGCCCTGCTCTGAGTATGCTGACACCTGTGGCTGTGTAGGCTGTGTAGCTTGTGATTACGTTCTAAATTGCAGTTCTAAATGAGTCAAAACTAGGATTGGTTATTTTTGCCCCCACTGCAATCAGCTCAAAAAGAACTTAGTAATTGGGGCATTAATTATTTCAGCAAGCGTAATTGCTAGTGAAGCTCAATCACACTGTTGCATAATGATTAAATCTATTTGTCATAAACTGCAAGTGATGTGGTGGTGAAGGAAACAATGCATCACAGTCAAACAAGTGGCCAGAACTACTGTAAACATCCATTTGTTCTAGCTGTGTATTTAATATGTGTAATGAAACTGAATAGCATTCTGCTGTGCGTTCAGCCCAAGCTCCACTTTAACAAAACTGTCTCATTGTTTTCTAATTTTAGTGATGTAATTAATTGTAACATTTCATTTCTTTGCAGTGAGGTTGCTTTTGGATACAAAGGGCTTCAAATCCAGCTCTATTATACTGCTGGTAACCTGAGTACCCTCTTCAAAGTGAAATATTCATCCAAAGTCACAGAGAAGTTCGACTGTGTTGAGGTAAGTTTCATGTGATTTTTTAATTTAATTTTATTTATTTTTTTATTATTGGATCAGTGTATTTCTACTTTTTGTTTAGGCTCATTTTTATGCTTAAATTTGAAAAATGTGAGTTGTTTATGTTATAAAGACCATGTACCATTGCATTATATTGTCTAAAACATTGCAGAAAACTATTCAAAATGCCTAACACAGAGCATGAAAAAAGCTGGGAAGCACTTCATTGGATTTAACAATGGTTCTTTATTATTAGATTTGTATAGTTATAAAACTGCTAGATGAAGCCTGTAAGAAGGAAAAGCAAGCAAATAACTCTATGGCTTTTTTATATTGATAATTAAAAAAACTAAATTTTTTGGTACATGGCTGTAGTAGAGATTTCTTCTTTGGTAAGCCTAGTTATAATCATCAAGGCTGCCTTGGAGTACCTGCTTTTCCATCTTAATGACATTGTCCACCTATATTGCCATTTATCTTTAAATTGTTGGATATTGTTCAGAGTTCACATTTTAAATCTTCAGGAATGTTCCCAATTGAGTGTACAATGAAATAGGAACTGCTAAACTATTACTCGCATGCATTTATTGTTTTAAACAACAGTAGGCTTGTCTCAAAATCAAATTTTTGTGATAAATTGTAGGAAAAGACTGTACAAGATAAACAGTTAAACTGAAACAAAGTTAAGATACTGACACAATACCAAAATAAAATGGTACAATTAAAAATATTCTAAATGTAAGATATTGTTAAACATGAGCTACAATGAATAAAACACTGTAGGTGTATAGTTTGGATCTATTATGAGTCAACAAAGTTATGTATTCAACTCTCCATGGTTCAAATGTAACTATAGCACAGAAAAGAAAAAAAGTTTCCCACTAGTCCAAAGAAAAATTAGATGTGATAAATATTGACACCCGAAAATTGTTCCATCTTTCATTTATTGAATGCCAAGTTGAAATGGTAATTATTGTGACAGGCCTATACAATATAAAACAAGATATGTGTTTCTTAACTCATTGCAATGTTGGCAATTTGCTAATTGTGACCACTCAAATTTGAATTTCAATTTGCATGCAGCTAAATGCATATCAAAAGTGTTGATTTGTATGATATGTAATGGACAAGTATGTATGTACAACGATATTGTGAGAAAGGTCATCTATTTGAACTCATATTCTGTGATTGACAAATCTAACAGTAAGTAACATTAGCCACACAAGGACCAGGCTGTAACTTTGCAAAAGGCCTTTTTCCAGGCTGGAAAGGCTCTGTGATTAAACCTTTTTTAAAAGGGATTGGCTGCCAGTAGGGACCATAATGTTTCTGCACTAACTGGAGTAACTCAGAGCTTCTCACAGGGTGGCAACATTATTCCAGTAAGAAATCTCCTGTTTTGTTTGACTAAATCTCAGCCCCCCCATGATCCCCCTGTGCTGGTACACTAATCCCACTCCTCCCCGTCGGAAGAGAACACTTTTAAAAGGTTTGCTACGTGGGCCCTAACATCAGGCATTGATTTTTTTGAGGTTTCTGTGATTGAATCAGCGGGAGGAGTAATATGACCCGGTTGGACATCTCATATATGTATTTTCAGGAGTGCATTGTTGCTAAAGTCATCTGCAATCAAGTCCTTTGATATTGAATATCTGTAAAGGCAGCTGAAGCTTTCTACTTCAAAGGCAATATATTTATGCATCTATTGTATGTTTTGTTTTTATGATGTAATGTAGTTAATCTGACTATATGAATTAGCATCTGGTCAACAGTTTACGCTATATAAAAAGCCTGCAATCTGAATGGTTGCCATTCAAGACTGTGGGTTCCACAAGTGGGCCAAGGTTTCATAAAGGTCATAGGATTCAATACACAGACATCTGCCCAGGGTGGAGGTTGTAGAACTCCTGGGCTGAACAATGTGACTTTGCAACTTCTAAAGCCGATACAAACTGAATGGAAAGCCATATTTTGGCTGATACAGGTACCGTTAAAATAACCCCATACTCCTATAATGGCTCATTTGACAAGGGTAAGCATCACTTCACTTTTAGATTTGGGGAGAAAGTTGAATAACAACCTCTTTACTCTCATTTGAAGTTGTAAAGGAAGTAGCATACTTCTTACTTTTGCTGATTTTCAATTGGTCAAATAAAGTATGGCTTTCAGTGTGTGGTGCACTACTTAGTGGTGCATGTTGACCCCTGAGTGTTCACCTTGTTAGAGCGCTGAGTGCAGCTGGTGCAGTGGTGGAGAGGCAGCAGCAGCAGAGATCAGGCTCCTCTGAAGAGCCTGTGTCTGAGAGTGGACTGACAGTGGTGCAGCTGCCCAGACACACACAAACAAGCTTATGCAGCTGCTCATCACAGTTCACCTTTTCCCCTTTAAATCAGGCCAAATCAGAGCTACCGGACTGCTCCAGCCCTGATTTACAGTCTGACCTGCTGTTCCCTACTGATGTCTGCTGTGTAGTATTTATAACACACTAATCAGTTTTCTTATTTTCATGTATTATGTTAATATGGTTTCAAAAGCTTGTGAACTGGAAAATAGCAGTTCTGTTGTTGGTAATATGGTTAATGCAGTACTCCTTTGGACTAAATTAAAAGGACGAAATAATGCAAAAGCCACAAATTAGATAGTTTGTACTCCCTTTGTGCATATTGTTCAAAATCAAAGACATTAACAAAATGTCCTAAAGGTTCATTGTTGAGTTATATTGATGCCAAACTGAGGCATCTATTCTGCAAAGCTGTGCAATTTAGTGTCTAGTATGTAGGAGAGTGCCAGGGACAAAGGAACTTGTTTGTCCATGGCCTTTAAGTATGGTCCTTGTTCCTTAGAAATGTGGCCGGACAATTACAATGCTTAAGAGGCATTCAGCTGCAGGTGCATTACTTGGAGTTAGATATTAGCTGATGCCTGAAAGGGGGGAATTAGCAGTATGTTGTATTAGCCTTTTGTAGTGCATTTTGCTCAGACCTTCTTCATTTCCCAGTTTTCAATGCTGAGCAGCGAGGGTCTCTGTGCCGACATAATGCCCATCACACATGTAAATGGTGTGAAAGGGCTGCTTAGCCAAGTGTTCTCATGTCAATCCTTGTGGAAATGGATACAATGCAAACATTACAGCTGAACTAACCACACGTTGCACAGAGTAAAAAGTCCAAGGGTAGGGCCCCTTTGTCTCCTGAGCTCTTTGAAAACCAAAAAGGGGCAAATTCATTTGATTGGGTTCACTTGGCAGGATTAGAGGAGAGACATCTATTATGGATGCCCCAGGTTTGTTAAGTTGAGATCAATTCATACGACTTTATTTCCCAGTGAGAAACAGAAATCCCTTATTGTGGTAGCTTCATCACATATTCATGGTTTAGCATAAGTAGTAAATGTACTGATTTAAGTGGTCTTTCAGCAAGAAGGGGGAGGGGGCTGTGCTCTGCTCAGCTGACAGTTTTAATTGCCTAATGGTTTTCTTTCTGTTGGCACAAAAATGTATAGACTTTCCGTTATGTTTTACAAGAGCTGTTTTGTTTTTGCACTTTAGTGTTGCTGTGTTCATTGGCGGAGTTGGAGGAAGTATTCCAAATAGACAAAATAATGGAGAATATTTACTGATTTCACTGTTTTTGTAATGGCATAGCAAATGATGTGTTTGTCTGTACTAAGAATGCTAATTCTACATCCATGCCATGTAAATATTTGTTACTGATTTGCTGATATAAACTTTAGATTACTTGCAGTGAACTTGTAGTTGCTGTCTCACTGCACAAGAGGCTATTTAATAAATGCTCTGACTTTATATGATTAAATGTTAAAAATGTTTTGTGATTTCACTGTGTTTTCCAGGCCGATGACATAGAAGGAAAGATCAGGGAGATTATTCCTGCTGGTTTCACCAGTAACACTGACGACTTCATCTCACTCTTGGACAAAGACGCCAACTTTAAGCCTTTTGGCACGCTCCTCCACACATACACAGTTCACAATGAGGAGGCAGGGGAGCTCACATACCAGATCTACAAGGTTTGTACATGTTATTTAATAACACCATCAAACTCCTGGACTTTATAACATGCATGACAATATTGCATTGCTTTTTAACACTGGTCTTAAGTAAATATTACATTTAAATATTTGGATTTTTAACTTATTTTACTTTTCTTTGTGTATTTTCTTTATTTTTTTCTTATATAAACATGGAACACACACTTACAAACCATTGCCCACCACAGAAGCAACCTGCAAAGTCTCATTCCCACCAAACGTCCAAGCCCAGGAACTGCCACCTCAGTCACCTAAAGTGTTCTTTAAAGTGTTTCACAAAATGAAAGGTTTCCAAATAATTCCTGTTTACCCTTCAGAACATGTGTTAGATGTCATCTGACTGTCACATCAGCCAAGTTATGATCTATGATCATTTTTTAAGTAAAATATATCTTTTAGTATTCAGGAGGCTCATGTTTATAAACTTTTCTACAGTATTACATACAATGAGCCAATGTTCGTTTACATTCTGTCCAATTTCTTCTGTATTTAATGGGGATTAAAACTGTAGTTAACAAGGTTATAACTTTATTTTTATATATTTTAAAACACAATGTTGACATTTCTGTTCTTGAGAAACTATAACAAAAATAATTAGGACCATACAGAAAAATGTGCTGAGATGTGACTCAGAAATAGTAGTAATTACATCAAAAATAATAACACAGTTAATTACAAATAAAACAATTATTATTTTGTCTGTTTATGTTCTATTTTGTATTCTCAATCAAATTTCAACTTGCCAAATCACTTTCGCCTTCATCTGGGTCAAATGCATTTCAATAACACGTATTTTTAAGACCACAGGACATGTATAAGTTTGAAAGTCCCACCAGCACTAAACAGTGAGTTTCCCCACAGGCTGACATGACTTGTGCAGGATTCCACGAGTACCACGAGCGTCTGCAGACCTTTCTCATGTGGTTCATAGAGACGGCCAGTTTCATCGATGCCGATGACGATCATTGGGACTTCTTTCTTGTGTGAGTGCACTCCTTAATTGACATCAGCCCCCCCACACACACCCGCACACCCCTGCAACCACCTCCACCCAAAGCCTTTATTGTGTCATTGAAAAACAAAGCCCCCCTTTGAGGCGCTTGTGACCAATTACCAGGCCAGTTTGATTATATTTCCACTGTTGGAGAATTGTTGATCAGGCAAGAGCTTCCTTTGTGCCAAAAGCCCTTTTCAAAAATTTCAGGGCCAAGAGCTGAATTGAATACTGTTGTCTTTTGAAACTCTGAACAATGTCTTAACAGTAAAAAGAGCCTCTGCCAGTGTTTTCTTTACCCTGGCACCTATTAAAAGTGACAATGGGCAAAATGGACTGAAGTGATTTGGAGGAGCTCAGTCCCTCCTCCAGCCCCTTCTCTTCCTCTAAGTTGCAGTACTCCAATTAAGTGCATAATGTATTCAGGTTGTAGCAGGTGTACCAATCGGGCCTGGCTGCTCTAACATGCTTGTGTAGGGGGGTGCAGGCTGGGCACAAGAACACAGGCTAAAATGGACACTGCATGGGAGTGTGCCTGTAATTGACCTGTTTGCCTTTGTGTTTTCTCTGCAGATTTGAAAAGTACAATAAAGATGGGGAGACTCTCTACGCCACTGTTGGCTACATGACAGTTTATAATTACTACGTGTACCCAGACAAAACGAGACCACGTGTAAGGTAATTGCCGGGGCAGCACGTGCCTTCCCATTCTTTTGTATGAAAAAGGAGTGGAAAATTATACATTTCTTTATCCTCATCCCAAAGAGCCCAAATTACTGGCTTATATAGCCAACTATTCAAACGGATTTTGTTTCATTACGAAACCAGGGTGATTTGTATCTGAAAACAACTTTATAGATAAGCATGGGATTTGATGTGTTGTCTTGATAGATCAGCATAACAATGTTTTATTTTGTGCTTTCAATCAAAGGAGTTTTGTTCTACAAAAAGCAGCTCAGACGACACACAAATGTGACAAGTCTTGAGGGAACAAACCAGTTTTGTCTCTTGCTCTAAATTTGCATGTGCGTTTGATTAACCAGCCAAATGCTGATCCTGCCTCCATACCAAGGAGAGGGACATGGAGCCCAGCTTCTCGAGGCAGTGCACAGGTTTTACTGCAACCTGCCCAAGGTGCAAGACATCACAGGTGAGTCTATTAACCGATTCAAATAGATTTATCAGTGATGAATTACAGCTAAACTAAGGTGACTATGGATACTGTGACCTGCAGCTGAAGACCCATCTGACAGCTATGTGAAGCTGAGGGACTATGTGCTGGCCAAACTTTGCCAGAGCCTACCATCATTTGCTTCAGACAGACTGCAGCTTGGCTTTTCAGAAGACATGGTCAAAGAGGCTCGGGATAAACTGAAGATCAACAAGGTAGTGGATGTTGCAGACCTGTTTTTGACTTTGAAAATGTAATGTAATATACTCAGGCTATTGGTATTTTATTTTTAAACTCCTTTCATTAATTTTTGTAGAAACATGCCAGGCGAGTGTACGAGATCCTGCGTTTAAGAACCACAGACATGAGTGATGAGGAGCAGGCTCGGGATTATCGCTTGGAGGTGAAGAAGCGGCTATTTGGACCATACAGGGTGAGACATTTCTCTAACACTTTTGAGTCATCTGAGGTAAAGTCACAACAAAACTGCAGCGTATTTGCAGACAAATAACAATAGTCTCTGTTGCTTCTAAACTATAGCTCAGCAGGATTCTTTTTTTTTACCTTTATTTTGTGAGTGTAGCCTGTTTATGGCTGTGTGCCGTGTGCAGCATACATACAAGTCCTCTTCTTCTCTCTTTGTTACTGTTTATCATGATACTATTTAAAACGGCAGCCGAATTGATCTTCAGTTTCATGAAAATTGATAGATTACTAATGTTGGAGCTCATTGTTGGAGCCACAATGGAGCGCACCAGGCTTCTGCAGTTGTGCTCCCGCAGGAGCTTTCCTCTATTCAGACACATGTCATTAGTTAGCATTTGCATTTCTTTGGGTGAAATGATTTTCATGAAAGTGTTTGAAGCACTTTGTCAAAAAGCTGCTACTATTTCGACTGTGTAGCTGTGCCCCAGCAGCAGAGTTTAGTATAGCAGGCTTGGGTGAGCAGAATATCAAACACTGGTTCTGATTTTGTCTCACCACACTTGACAATTGAAAACGCCGCCTAGATCTCAGCACTCCCATAATGCCCTGCTTCCTGTTTGCTTCTGACATTTTCAGTGTGAGCCGCTCACAAAACTTTGCATAGCAGCCATTAGAGAATTCTCTGTCAGCAAGGAAACCACACGTCTCTGAGAGGAAGACTCTGACAGGGAAAGGCTCAGTGCGGTGAGGAGGGAAGTGGAGAGACTGGCAGAGAAAGATCTGGTGGCCAGATGCGGCCCATTTTTCCTTCCCCGAGGAGATTTAGCATGTAGTTAGTGGAGTAGTGGAGGCCACAGCTCTGTGAATCTGAGGGGGATTATGCAGTTCTCCTTCAGCTCTGCCTTCTCTGAGGCCCAAATCCCTTGTGACTGTCTACAGCCTCATTCAGGCTGCAGATTGCTCGGGACACGTTGTCTTTATCCAGTTTCTTAAGACAGATTCAAGGTTCCCATGACCAGGAAACCTTAGAATCTAGCTGACTATAGTGTTCCTGTCATGGAATGTTAGCAAAAATAGGAGAAACTTGAGTATGAAAAATTCTACAAAATATTTACTTTGCTTTCAGACTTTTTGAAGAGAAACAGATCGGACAGTGGCCATTAAATCTTTTCAAGTCGAGTACATTCTGGCATTTGCATATCCAAAATATAGTGTAACTGTAGTCCTCTCAAAGACTAGAATCTTGTTCCAATATAATTTGATGAAGACAAACTACAAAAGCTGTTCTATGAATCATCCTCTTTGCTTTGAATCAATCTTTGAATAAACTGTAATCCTGTGCTTTTTGTTGGCTCTGTGCAGAAGAATCAGAGGGAGCTAGAGAAGATGAAGAAGTGCTTGCGGCCGGAGGAGCTGGTGTCACACATGGGTCAGATGGACACTCAGGTGCAGCACGAGGAGCTGGAGAAAAGCTACCAGGAGGTGGTGGGAGACTACCGCAGGATCATAGAGAGGCTGGCTGCACACGTCTGAACATCTCTCAGAGCAACAGACTCTAGTTGTAATGATACAGTAGTCACCAAAGAGAGTGGCGGTTTTTAGCATCTTGATCAGTATCTCAGCAGGGGGTCTGGTCATGTGTCTACTGATTTAGTTCATCAGCCACACTTCGGAATGACCCACGTCTTTAAACGTATCATGTGAGGTTCAGTGTCATCAGTTATTTACAGCTTTGCCGTTCTTTTTTTCATATGGACACCATGAAAGTTCTTAAAAACTGTGTAAGTGTATCCTTCAAAGTACTTAATAAAGTAAATTGGTTTTGTATATTGCAAATGAGATGTTGATTTCAGGTATTTAAGACCTGAGAATGTTCAGTCAGTTACATCTCTAGTGACTTTTGACACTGTTTTCTGAGACAAAATATTTGCAGTTCATTTGATTAAAGCAGATCATATTTTTGGGGGTTTCAACTTGAAACCATTGCTCTGGTATTACAAAAATATACATGTACAGGTTATATATTCCATTTCTAATTAAACTTTATGGTGCTATCTTGTGGAGCTCAACAGTATCACCCATTTCGAAAGTCTATTCTGGTTCTGGAAGTAAATTCCTCATAAATTTTCCTCATAAACCTTTCTGAAAATTGAAATCTTCAGAGTTTAAAGCCACAACACAAGCTAACAGCTATGTGGTAACTAATATCTTTAACGCAGTACAAAAAATAAATTTAAAACCTAAAATTCAGCAAAATGTTAATAATATAGTTTCAGAAACTGAATTTTAAATAAAATTATAGGTCTTGTAACCATTAGTTACCACACAGCTCCAAGTGAGCTGTTAAACGTAATACTATTTTTTTCTATGTGGAAAATGAATGAGAAATTTACTTCCAGAACCAAGTGGTAGGCGGTTACTGTTGAGCTCTATATGGTGAATAACCCGTTATTGGTGACCTTTCAGTGACCCATGTCCAGTTGAAATAAAAATCTAGGGAGTATTCTGTCATTCAGTGCACTGCTGACTACTGTACTGAAGCTGACCTGATTAACTCATTTCCCAGTATGTGTTGTATGTACTGTATTGGTGAGATGTAATTTTGCCCCTCTTATGGCTAATGCAACTTCTGATTGCTGCTGATGTTGAGTGTCGTACTAATGAGTATTCTAGTTTCCAATTGAAAACCTTTGTGCCCCAGTATTGCCCTGCTTGTGCAGATAACTGTGATGAATATCCATCATACTTTATGATACTTTAGCACATTGTCACTAAATGAAGGCTGCTAGGTCAATTTTCAATTTTGTTCCTCTCCACTTGAAACAAGACAAAACCTTGGAACTCTTCTCATCTCTAATTCAGATTGATTGAATCCACTTGTGGCCACAAGGGGCCTCATCTCACTGTAGTTTTCTGCTGTTCTGCTGTGAATGCATATTTGTCATTACACTGCACAGCCTCAGCTTTACTGAGTATTTACTGCTAGATTAAATATAACTATGACATTTGAATAAAGTCACACTCTGTGAGTGAGGAAATGTGATTCAGATTTTTGACCTACTAGAATCACGGCTCCCCATTTTGAATTGAGAAAACAATCCAGTAGTTTCCAGAATGTTTTGAAATCTTTTGTTATTTTGAGACCACACATTTGTGATTACAGTAGCTTCATTATTTCTACCACAGTCTTTTCTGATCTGGTTTGAAGTCCCAATGCACCTTTCTCAGTGGAGACGCTTAAAACAGCCCAGGCAATTAGTTATGAATTAGAGCAAATGAAAAGTCATGATTGTTAAATGTGAGGGAGCTTAAATATAATTGAGCCTGATTGTCCAGACGGGGCAATATTAGAAAATCATTTATTTTGGGGTTTTGTGTAGAATGTTTTGAATTCTATTATATTTTGTGTCCAAACCCCCATAATCCCACATGATCAGTGAATTATGCCGTCACTCAAGGTAGATGTAGAATTAAATGAATTCAGATTTGACTGTTCACTCTGGGGTCACTATGCAAAACTCTGATCTGTATCCGATTTGTGACCACCCACATGAAAAGTGAAACACATGGAATCAATTTTAAGAAGAAACCGAGAAGTATACCTTTACAGTTTTTCCTGGATATTGGCACATTTGTTTTAGGCTACAGGTTGGCAACAAGTGAAGCCTTTAGGACTGACTCACACAATAATTTTACATCTAGTCTATTCAAAACTGTTGCTAAAATGCAACTTTTTGTCCCCCACCGCCTTTATAGATTTATTCATTAGAGGGTTCAGACCATTTTCATTAAAGCAGTGAAGACAAAAATAGAACTAAAGCTACGCCAAGTCATGTTTTTAAATAATGGCTGGGGCACAATGACCTTGTCTGCAGTCAAGAAAAAAAAAACCCTCAAATGCCTAATTTATTCCAATACACTTTTAGTAAGTCATTTTTTTTCTTACCTGATACTTGACACTGGCAATGACTTTTCTTGCCTCTGTGGTGGAGGAGGCTTGTAGTCAAAGCTAAATTTGTGTTATGAAACTAAAGAACTTTGCGTCCATCTTCTCATTCTCATTTTCCATTTTTTACACCTTTCACTGAATTTTAAAGTCAGGTGGCAATGACATCTTTTTTGAGGAGCAAACCCAGACCTCGTGCAGTTGTACTTCACTCAATGAACTTACAAACGGCCAAGGTATATTTCAAATGTGTTATTTTGTATGTTTCACTTATGGAATGTGTACTATTAGAAGAGAAATGGGAACAATAAAGTATCTTAAAAGTGCATTGTGTAACTTTTCTGGTGGAGGGTCTGTTATCTGTTTATAGTTTTAGCAATAAAATGATCTACAGTATCTTGCATTTATTCAACTGAAGGTATTTTTATTGCTTTAAAACCAGTTGACATGTAACTTTGCTTGGTGATGTCACTTTTTTTGCCTCCATGTACGTAGATATTTTTAATGCAGTGCTGTGGGGCAACTACATTTATATGGAAACGAGGAGATAACGGACCCTCCAGCAGAAAAGTTACGCAGTGCACCTTTAACTGTACTACTGTAGATCTCCTTTGCATTCTGTTTGGGCATGCTCAGTCATGCACATAATAGCGTACACAGAAGCAGGCTGCAGTTACAGTCTACAACTGTACAGGGCCGGGCTCCGAGATTCGGTTTCACCTGTTGGCATTCGCGCTGCTGTGTTACCTTATGGCGCCTGTGCATCTCCGGGCTGTCAGACTTTTGGACAGGAGCCGGGGCCGCTGTGAAGGGCCGCCTGAACCTGATACCCGACCGGAGCCGTCCCAGCGTCTTAAAGCCCGCAGGTTCCCATGGGAGAGCGCGCCAGTCAAGTGCGCGCTCACCTGCCCCTCCTGCGCACCTCCGCTCTGCCTTCTTTTCTTATCATGTTGCCGTGTCCATTGTGCCCGTACACATACCCCGAGGTCAGTATTGCCTCTCTTCAGCGTCAGTGAACCAAGCCTCAGTGCCTTTCTTTGCTAAATGAGTCCTCTTTAAGACACCGTTTGATGCGCTGACAACCAGCACCAAAACAGTGTAAAAGAGACCCGAGTTTGACATCTTTTAATTGTATGTCAGAAAGCAGAGATTGTGGTTCCGTGGACAGCTCGCAGATCTCGCCGCTGATATGGTAATTTGCTGAAGTGAAGGATGTGATGAAAGTGTGCTGTTGTTGATGGTTTTAGCGCGCGATTCCCCAGAGTCCATTGCGCGCTTGGTCCTACTCGTAAACGTAGCCTAGTCGAAGTGGGCCACGTGAACTACCTTTGGCCTGGTTTGTAAGGTATGAACAACAAGCTTTTATTAATTGCAGTTCTTGTTAGGGTCGTGCACTTGCAGGGGTCTTAAGACGAGGCAACCTCTAATGACAGCACAGACTACTCCAAAGAGGTCAACCAAAAATGTTTGTGCAATTCTGAATTACATTTCATTCCTTGTATAAAATATTCTACAATTTGCATAACAAGTAAGAAAAAATCTGAACAATTTTTATAGCCAACACAGTAGAGCGTAGCGTTAACTAATAAAAATATAAGCCATCATATTTTATTATTGTTTCAGTTGACCTATGTCCTGTTTAAAGACCCTGTACCCAAATAAACTAGTTTGCTAATACACTTTGCACCATATTGTGTGATTAAAGAAACTATTTGCAAAAAGTTAGAAGACTATAGTTATTGTATTTGCATTTTAATAGGCATTTTGTTGGATGAGAACCATGGGCTTTTAAGGGCGTGTTCACATTTGCACCTTGACTAGCCTCCTGAAGAAAAAAAGTGTATTGCAATATATATTTGTAGTGTTTTTTCTATCTATCTGGAGGTAAATGAACACCTTAGCACTTAGATTTTGTTCATTTTATTTTCATTTATAATTTTGTAACATGTCCTCAGTAGTGGACGCCAGGGAGGTTTTGGTGTTAAATCCAACCTAACAAAACAACTTTTCTGATGACAAACAACACAGACAAGCTTCTACAGTCACCTCAAAACGTTTTTAGACTCCCTTTTAATTTCTTTTCTTTCTTTTTTTAATCATGGTGCAGCCACAAACTAACTCCTATTAAGTTTTTTTTTTTTTTTTAATCCTGGACATGATAGTACCCTATAACCCCCCCAGCCCTATTTAGGCAGAGGAACCGAGTCCTGCCATTAATAGTCTATCTCAAAACACTTAAAAGATAAACTGGTTAAATCAGTGTCTACTATGAAGGACACAAATGAATGGACTGGGTGTCAGGAGGCTAGAACAGAATTGTGAACCTACCTTAAATCACCAAAACACTGAGTAAAGGACCTTAATATAATGAAGAATATGCATACCAACTAGAGATAGCCTTATAATGTGTATTGAAATTTAATTAGAAAATGCATATAACCTAATTTTTGTAAGGCGCTGTATTAATATGAATAACCAGGGCCTGCTGTGACATTTTGCTTTCAATTAACTCACTGTCATGTGACTTAAAAACACAGAAAAGAAGCTGAGTTCTAAAATGTGCTTGTTTGTAAGCTCATTTTCATGCTTGTTTAAAAAAGAAAAAAAAAAAGTGTAATATTATCACCATTAAAGCTTTGAATCGGTGATGTTACGTGGCAGTGTACAGCGCAGCATGGAGGGACAGATTGTGAAGTTATTTCTAGTGAACAGCAAACACCGCTGACTGCCTTTTTGTGTTGTAATCTGCACATGAATGGTCTCCCTCACTCGTACCGCGGGGACTGCCTGGTATTAATCTCTCAAATGAGCCGTTGGATGAACATGTGCTCCGCTAGATGTAGTTTTCCAATTAAAATAGTCCCATTAAGCGGTAATTGGTGCTATCTGAGGCTGCCGCTGTGGAGTCGAAAGGGAGAGATTTGGAGCGAGAACTGGGTCCAAGATGGTATCGCGTAGAGGAGACAGGAAGCCCACTGTGTAATCTCGTCAGTGCGGACATCGGGCCAGCCATCAAGTCGACCGGCCTGCCTTCTGTAGGTTTATATTGAGTGGAGTGAACTGTTGTGAACTGTCTTATCAGGAAAACACAGGTTAGATCTGGTTAGACACAGAGCTACTCCATTCATAACCATTTTGATTTATAATTCATGCAATCTTGGCACATAATTAAGAGTAATAGGGCAATTGCAAATTTTAAAGGACTTGTATTACAGTATTTTCTAATCTATGTTACAGATATCCAAATCTCACGGTACAATATTATCACGATATTTATTGCGATATTTTGGAGGGATGAACAGAATTGTACATACTCTATTTTTTCCTTTTTAAATACAATGACCAGTCTTCAGTGTGAATCATTACTGACCTGATTCATCAGCCGGTTTCACTTTGTAGAAACTGTCTGACCTTGCAGCGCTAGAATTCGTTCGTTCGACAGTAGGCGGGTACTTTTTAAAAATTTAACCAATTGCTGCTATTTGGTCGTGACGTATGTAATGCAGCGCTAACGGGGCTAACTGGTATATTAAGCTTTTCCCAAATCCCGTAGGAAGAAGGGCAATAACGTCTTTCCCCTTGATAAAATTTACCAAACATTCTCTTTGTTCCGGCTTTAAATCCTCAATCTCGGGAATCGTTGACAACACAGAATATATGGCTCTTCACTGATTTGCTGGTACCCGAACTCACACTTCTGGGGTTCTTGCAAACCATCTAGTATATTCCGATTCCTGACGCTGGAGAGAAATGAAATTGAGCAGAGGCACTAGGTGGCACCAGCCTGGCTAAATCATTACTGCTATATTCCAACGACATAAGATTTAAAAGTGTTTAATAACAGTTATTTTATTATGTAGTAAAGTAAGTAACGGATCATGACTTATGCAGTTCCCAATTTTTTAATACTTGTAAGTCAAAAACCTTGCCATACGATATATTGTAATGGACCACGACATTATTGTGAGGGTTCTGATGATACAATATCACGATATTTTGGTTACTGTTACATCCCTAGTGTTGTTTCTTCATCAGAAACATAACTGGAGTTGTGTTTTTATTTCAGTCACACATGTTTAACACACAAATCGTGCATATTAAGACTGAGTTCTTTTCTTAAACAGATATCACTCCGTTCCACCTTGTGATGTCATGCAGTAATACAGGAAGTGCTCCATTTTTAAACTCCATACACCTTCACTAGAATAATTTAGAATAATTTCAACCCTGTAACTTCCAGTCTCTACTAAACAAAAAGTTAAAGTTAGCTGTTAAAGGGACAGTTCAGAATTTTGGACATAGGACCTTATTTCCTAGTGAGCCAGAGTGTTGGAGACGTGTGAAGACACTTTTTAAAATATTCCATCCAGTATTGGCAGAGGTCACTGCAAGTTAGTCTGCCACTAAAAACAGCCTGACCCACTCAACAGTGCACTTGAAGCAAAACAATTATTATGCCAGACTGTCGATGTAAATGTCTATGTCAATAAAATAATTTCAGAAGTAAAACCAACCTTGCATTTGAAGGATTTATGTCTGAGCAGCAGCAGTGAGTTGTACTTCCTGATAGAAAGCTTGGCAGGGGTGGACTGATATCACCTAGCACCTATCTTACCGGCAATGTAAAATTCTGCTGCTGCTGAGAAAATAGTCCCTCAACATGTGACGATTGATGCGATGCAAGGTTACTTTTATTTCAAACATTATTCTATCAACACAGACATTCACATCGGCAGTCTGGCATAATAATAGATTTGCTTCGGGTGCTTTGTGGAGTGGGTAAAATGTTTTTAGTGGCAGGATAACTATGGCCATTGACATGCACTAGCCTAGCACCAGCGACCTCTGCAAATACAAGGACTGGATGGAATATTTAAAAAAGTGTCTCCACACATCTCCAACACTCTGGCTAATGAGGGAATGATCTATGTCCAAAATTTCGGACTGTCCCTTTAACTTGAAAACTACCTCTTCATGACATCACAAGGTGTAACAGAGCATTTTGAGAGATGTAGACAGATTAACAATAAAGGATTACTCAAACATGTGTGAATGAAAGAAAACACAACTCCAGGTATGTTTTTGCTGAGGTTATAATATCACAGCATGACTTAAACCTCACAAGAGTCAATTTTGCAAAATATAGGACCTTTAAATTTTCCGATAAACTTTAAAAGCATATTTTTCTTTCTTTAGGTGCAAAGTGCTGACAAGTTTGATTGACTGACAGCCAATGGAAGTGCCTCTCTCTTCTTTGGTGAGTTGTGTTACATGTATTCATTTTATACTAATTATAATAAGTACAGTCTAAGGATGAACTTGAAATAAACTACCTTTCTGAAAGCTTTATCTTCTTCATCTGACACACTTGACTGTGATTGGTTAAATCCACTTGTCACTCATGAAGGGCAATACCGATTCTGACCAATAGGAGGAGTCAGTGGTTGCATTAAATAGAGAACCATAGACTTATTGTTCCATATATGAAAGATGAAACAATATATTTTTGGGGTCAATATTTGTACATTTCCATTGCACTACTGGGACAGTTTTCTGTTATTTTTTGGCTTCTTTATAGGATTTAAGCCGAAAAAGGTTGAGTTAATAGCTTCTATGACTCATTACAGCTGCAAAATAAGAACATAAGTGATTCATTCTGCTGTTTGTTTATTGCAACTCATGATTTTTAACAATGTTGTAGAATAGTTTTTGTGGTTTAAATCTACTCTTGGGTTATTGTATCAGTATCATAAATTAGTTTCAGTGTTATCCTTTATTGTTTATATTTACTTCAGGTATACAGTATATCACCCTTCAAAATTTGTTAGTGTGACAGGGCTAGCTGGAACAATATATTTTGGGGCTTAATATTTATTGTGGGTAGTTTTTTTCTTTGCAATAGTGCTGAGATCTTTGCCATTTTTATGTAATATGATAAGATTTGACCCGTAGAGAGTAGAATAAATAACTTTTATGGCAAATTATCAGTTATTTATGCCATTTATTGGTTGCAGCTCATGCTTTTAATGATACTGTCTATTTAAAATGTGTTTACTGGGATTATCCTGTTTTGTGACCATGGCATAAGGTAGTTTAAATATTATTGTTAATCGTAATATTTCTGTGTAGCGATATATCGTGCTTAAAAATGTGTTATTGTGACAGGTCTACCAAAATAGCAGATTGTATTAGGGGTTTGATCACAATTGAATTTTATAGTCACATTTCCCAACCCTACTTTGGGATTTTTACAAAGTTAGAAGACAGATGAAATGTATTCACTAAGGAATACAAAGACACAACAATGCAGCTTCTCACAAAATCTAACTTTTAGAGCAGAGACTTCATGTCTTGGTGTTGTTTATAGATCTGAAATTTACATACAGTACAATATATTACTGAAGTAAATATATACAGACAATAATTAATAATATTGAAACAAATTTATGCCACTGACACAATAACACTAAAGCAGATTTAAACCACAAAAACTGTTCAATATAGTTAAAAAGCCAAAAGTTACAATAAATAAACAGCGGAAAGCAGAACGCCTGTAATGAGTCATAAACAACCAAAAACTTCTTGTACAAAGAAAATGTACACACGATCAACACTGACCCCAAGTCCAGCCTTTATATATTGAACCATAATTCGATATAGTATTTATCGTGACAAGCTGGGTTGTATATTTTCTCTCAGTCTCCTCACACTTTGCCCTACTTTATGCATGCTTCCTTCCTCTTCTGCCTTGAAAATTGCTTGTAAAATATTATTTGTCTGGAGGGCGCACAGACAGGTAACATTATCCTTTTCACCAAGCATGATTTGCCTAATAAATGTGGACAGCGTGGCTATGAAAAACTCTACAGAGGTGTGATTTTGTTCTTGTGCTGATGACGAATCAGTAGCAAGTGGCAGCAGAATTATACAAATCCATACGGTGACTGTTTTTCTTTCACAAACACAGTAATTGATATGTTGTGAAGGGGTGTGCAACCTGCTAGAAGAAACGCTGGGCAAACCTGAGCTGTGTACAAGAGTGATATTGCATTACACATGTGTCAGTCAGAGCGTAGCGCCAAAACACTCCCAGGACCCAGCGTGCTCTGAAGATCTCTTAGTTTTCCGCAGCTGAACCAGGATCCCAAAGTAAATAGGAATTCTACACACAGACACACTTTGACATTTGCCAGATGCTCGCTGCTAATTAGGGCCAAGTATTCCCCTTTTGAGTGGAGAGTGTGAGAACCCACCAGAGCACCGCTGGACGACCCACAAGACCCCACTGTGTTTGTTCAGTGAGCACATGCATGGAGCAGGTTCTGTGTAGTGCTAATTCACTAGATTGTCATATATCTTAGGACTGATTTGAAGTGTAGCGTTGTTTACTAACTAGCTATTTGATCCCCAGTGTTGTGTCTTTGGGCAAGACACTTTACTCACCAAACCCACGAGAGTGTTATTGTTGTTTTTATTATATGGTATACTACTATATTATATACAAACATTCATACAATACAGACAAAAATACAGCTTTTATTTTCACTTTACACAAGATTGGGCCAGTGTAAGTAAAGTTAGACCTGAGCACATGCATGGAGCAAGTTCTGTGTAGTGCTGATTCATCAGTTTGTTATATACAGTATGTTAGAACAGATGTCAAGTGTAATGTTGTTTATTAACTAGCCCCACTAATGTTGTGTCTTTGGGCAAGACACTTCACACACCAAGCCTAAGGAAATGTTATTGTTGTATTTAGTATATGGTATATTACTGTATGTACAAAAACTCTTACGATACAGGAACCTGGGGAATTTCCAGTGTTGCAACAGGCAGTTCCAGAACAGCAGGGAAATATAATATATGTGGATATATGTAATCAAGATAAGTAAAAATGGATTTACACCACTGAAGTAATCTACATATAAAAGTAATGGGTAGTCTTTACTTAAATTAATTTTAATAACATTTAATTTTATAATTTGTGATTTTAATAAAAGTTAGTATAAGCTTTGAAACACAGTGAGGTAGCTAGTGTGATACTGAGCATATATGTTCTGTTACGTTGCTTATGTATTATGTATTATGCCTATTTGCGTAATACATGCACAAGACTGCTCCAGTGGAAGTAAAGTTAGACATGAGCACATGCATGGAGCAGGTCTAGTGATGCTGATGCATAAATTGAGCTTCCAAGTTTGGTTTATGTAGATACTTTTTACTGCCAGTTTTAATTCACTGTGTCTTTTATCTTTGTTAGATTTATTTTACTTTGAAAAATAATGACTTTCACACATTAGCTTTGAAGGTGAAGTGTTTTGCTGTGTGACTGTGTGCCCTTTATATTTTCACTCAGCACAAGACTGCAGGTCCACTGTAAGCAAGGTTAGGCCTATTACAATTGTCATGTTATGTCATACACGTTATTGTCCTTTCTTCTATATACTGTAGGTCCTTGAAGTATCTCCACTGTAGGCTGATAGACAGGTTGTTCTAGGTGTGAAGAGATTAAATCCATGGCCATTTGTGATGCTTGGGCAGATATTGCTTTGTGCTGGTCTCTGTCATTTAAGACACTTTTGTCTCTGCTGTGGCTGCTTCTGTGTGGGTGAGCCACAGTCAAACGCAGGTGCTGAGAGGCAAAATGCTTTCACCTCGTTGTGATTTTTCCCACAGTGAGCTGTTTACCATCAGCACATTATCCTTCCCAGGTATGAGATCCATCATTTATCATCTAGCCTCCGCAGTCCTTTTCAAATCTACTGATCCCACCACCTCCAAGGGTCCAAATATAACATGTGGAGTATGAGAAGAAGTGTCCCCCTATGCTAACCCCTCCTCCCCCCACACTCAGGCCTGGTCAGGGGGCGCAGGAAGTGAAAGCAGCCCTTGGAGAATGCACCACCCACAGCCGCAGTGCTCTCCCAGGCTGCCCAGGCTCAGTCTGGCTCCTGTCCAGGCTGTAGCGCTGTGATGGGGAGGGTCACACTTTGGTCTGACCCGGACCTGTATGTTGGATGTTGTTGTTATTAGTGGTGCATGTCCCCGGGCGGCTTGCCGAGCTCTGGACAGGCTCTGGACCTGTGGAGCAGCTGTGTGGGTGAGGCCCCCTGCACCTCCTCTGTCCCCTGGGAGCACCGCTGCACCGGCCCCAGCCACCGCTAACTGTTCTCAGGCAGGCAGCATGTGGGGCGGGGGGGGGGCAACTGCACTGGACGGCCGTGTCATACTAGCTTCCTGTACTACAACATGCAAAAGCCTCACATGAATTACCACCGCTACCTGTGAAGTGCTCTGCAGGAGGGCTGTACTAAAAATATCAATACAGTAATATATAATGACTGACTTTTTCACAATATGCATATCAATTTAGGGTAAAAAATATTAATTCTTTATACTTGCAGATTATAGTTGCAGTTGTACACTTCATGACTGGATTAAAGCTTATCTAGACCTTTGAATTTCACTGTATTTTATTATTCATGTAAAACACATCCCTTTTTAGTAAACCTTTAAAACACTTTTTATCAATATGCGCGTACTGACATAAATATTGTATCCTGGGACCTATATTGGGATTTGTAATATATTATGAGGTTCTTGGCAATACCCAGTCCTATAGTCAGAAAGTGGATTTTTGTTGTAATAGACTCTATTATTTAGTATTACAGACATCACTACAAATGTGCTTTGGCAAATGTTGACTGACAATGTAAAGATGGTCAAAGGAACAATTAACTATAACCCTTCATTTTGGCATATGCTCAGCTCATGTCACAGTGTGTCAGGCCTCTGGACACTTTAATCAGTTTCATTGTAGTAGGTTCCTCTTGTGAGAAACCCTTGAGTTTTTCTGTGAAGACTTTATAAGTAACTCAGTGATTGGCTGCTTTGTGGATGACTAACATCCTCAGAAGGGCAAAGGGTATTAAAAAGCCTACCTTGCCTTTCGACCAACTTAATTCTGCCTATTCTTGGCGGGTCTGGAGGGGGCCTTCTAACTGTGCAAATAGCTGTGGAAATTGCGTGTGGCCTTTGCCTGTCTGTGTAATTGCGAGCCTCTTGCAGTATTTTGCTTGGCAGTGGGAGAGGTTAACCCCTGCGGCTGGGGCCTGGAGCTCTCCATCTGACTGGCACAGGGCTCCTCAAAGAGCCACTTGTTCAGCCTGGGCAGCTCATCCACACTGATCCTCTCCTGGATCACTCGGAGCTGGAGCTCTGGATTAGCAGGGCCCAGGCTGAAGTATCCAAGCCTGG